ACAAAATGGCGGCGGTAATCCCTCCATGGTGTCTTCCCGTTGAACCTGTCGGGGACAATATTTGGTCACTTCAAGGTAACGCTCGTACTTTCCTCTTTTTTGATGCTCCTATCTAGGAGGACGCCATCCTCACGTACAGACGAGTTTCTTGACACCTCCGGTGCCGTTTCTCCCTTCGACTCTCTGCTTGTGCTCGTTTCTGCTGCTGCAGATTTCACAACTTCGCTGGCTGGCCAATTTTCTCAGCCTGGGGTTGTATTTCAGAGTGTCCTGTTGCATCACAAGGCGCAGATGCTGCAACTAACTTGGGTTTTCCTGTTCGTGGTTTGGGAGTCGGCCTTGCTCTTACCGGTGTTGATGTGTGGTAGGTAGGGGTAGCGCCATGTTCTCGTTGTCACCACCAATGGCCAAGGTATGTCCATTATCTGTTGTCGTCTGTCGACGAAGCCTAAGAAGGTGAAGCTCCGCCTCTAACAATGCAATTTGGTGGTCAAGCTGCTCGGCAGGGGTACTTGATAACATTAGGCTCTCCCCCTGACTGCTCTCAGCTGCGCACGTGACCAGCTCGCCCTCAAAATCGATTAGCAAATCCTCTGCCATACCATCAAGCCAGGTGTGTCGCCTTCGTAGGTGTGTTCAAAATGCTTTGGCGCCAATCCCACTTCTGACACCATTTGTAGCGGTCTCCAGCGACGGAGCCTCGGGCGTGCCTTTGGTCGACCCGACGAGCGGCTGTAGAGGCGACCAGAGGGGCAGGTCCGTTTGGAGGCAGTCTACCGCCAGGCGCCGAAGCCTAACAAGTTGCACCCACGGGTCTGGTCTCGGGGGCTGGCAGAAAGGGGGCCGGTACCGTGGGTTACTGGTACTGGGGGATTTCCTGGACAAACTCAAAAAGACTCTGGTTGGCTTCAAATTTGATTGGTTGATTATTTTAATATTGGCACTCTCTTAAACAGGAGACTCCTAAATAGGCAACTCCTAATTAGGCGGCTTGTGGATTTGCAAATTGTTTACACCACCTACGTCTTGACTTGCACTGTTTACTGCTGAATTACATAAAAGATGACCATAAAAGAGATGTGAGTGCTTATCAGGACTAATTACAATAACTGAATGAAGTCGCACTAACCTAGTGCCCAGTAATCACTCTAAAGCACAGCGTACTGCTCTGACAGCCAAACCAAGCAGCAGTACGAACTCGTCACGCACAAATATGACCGAACAACAGAAAGACAGGAAAGACCGTGAGTAGCTCGCGCGCACTCCTTATATACCCATGCGCGGGTTATAATTATGGGATATAAATGCTTAACTGCAAATAATTAAAGAGGGCGCTCTAACCACCCCACTATTTCGCTACAGTATTTAAATATATACTAGGTCATTGCACATTGCCGGCTCCATTCTTTGTTTAGTCATGTGAAATACACGTGCTTCGGAAACAAGTGATGAGACCAAACAGATTTTCTGATGACATGCAACAAAAAATATGACCTCATCAAACTGGAAATCCATATCACGTGACATCTTGTGTTTGTTAATAACACAAACATGTCCTGTCGAGTCGTATACTGGACCTGCAAAGCATTTTTAAAAATTCACTGAAGAAATGCACTTTTTGTACAAAAATGGCACAAAATTGCTACAAGCGCTTTGACAGCAACATACCTTTATCCCGTCCACGAGCTCAACATCAACGAGATCCATTCCATTGCGCTGCCAGATGATATTGGACTTGTCTTCAACATCGATCCCACAGACCAGTACGATGTTATCGCCTGCTTTAGCCACCTTGGTTTGTTGGCGTATGTCCTCCGGAATCGTGACTATATGAACGTCTGAAGTTAACAGGAAAGTTTCGTAAAGTTCTCCTCCAGAACAAATGTTAAAAGGCCCATTTAGTGCAATTTTAAGGCATCCTCTGAAGTTCACCTTTTTGAGTTTTTGTTAGCATTGCATCAATTTTATTGTTGTTATTTTAACAGCATTTTGAAAAATTCAATCCTAAGTAGAAGTGCAAAATCTATTGAGGTAAAAACATCAACATAACAGCCATTTCGGCACCAAAATTTGGAAGATTTGGGGGGGGGGTATTTTGCGACAAATTCTCTTTTCTGGGGTTCACTATTCAATCGTGTTTCAGTACATGAAGTGAGCAAAGTTTTTCACCTGATATTTTAATGAGCAAATTTGGGGTTCACAATTTGAAGAGAAAGTCTAGAAAATGAAAAAGGGTCCTCTGCAGATGATATTTTGGCTATAGCACCTGCTTAGTCAGTTAAAGCAAGTTTGTTAAAAAGAAACGTACAGTTTAATAAGACTACCCAAAAGTATGTCACGCATGTGCACAAGCAAGCAAGTACGCACACAATGACGAATGGGCTTTTCAAATATCGGTTCTGTCTATGTACGACATTTTGTCTCCCACTCCACCACAATCTCCACCACGTCAAGGCTTGAATTTGTAATGCAACTATATTGAGGGTGATGTTCATAACATAAATGTACTTCTGTTACATGTATCACATTTCTGGAGAATCTTACATCAGAATGGTATACTTACGACTTTTTAAAAATTATTCTTCTTTTTGAGTACTACTGAATCCATTTTGGATGCTGGGAAGTCCGAACAAATTTTCATAATCCGTCTCATTTTTTTTCTTACCACAAAAAAGTTGCGGATGACTCAATAAGCCATCCCCACTCAAAAAGTGGAGGGGTATATACCCCGCCCCTAGGATTTAAATGCGGTAAGTTTTCATTTGATTCAACATGGAGAGGTTCTTGGTAGTTTTTCTACCAGGGCCAGAGTTTACCCTGGTTTCTTATTTCTTTCATAAAAAGTTAGCAAGGCTCAGGTATATTCATAATGTTTCAAAGGGTTCTAATATAACTGTGGCAAATTTCATTGGACCATTCTGGTTGTGCATGCTTATGATTTGATTTTCCGCCATTTGTGCTCTTATCGTTTATCACAGTAATGATGGCGACATGGCAAAGAGTATCTGTCTAGGCTGCCAACAGTCAGCTGCTAAGCAACAGCTCATGGTGTCGTAGCAACACATCCATTCAAGTAATGAAAGCAAATAATAATTTATATAAATAATAAATATTTGGTGTGGTCGGTAGGATAAGGATGTGGTTAGGTTGGCACTTACTTTGAGAAATTCAAATATATTGGCTAATATATAAGTAAAAATGAAAGTCAATACTGCATTTGAGGATAGCTAATATATAAGTACAAACGACAGTCAATACTGCAACTGAGGATATTACTGTGTTTGGTTCTGGAGCCACTGTTAAACTGAGACCAGTCAGGGAGATGCCAGGACATCTGGAATTCTTTCGTGACTGTGTTCGGGCTTGGACTTTCACCGCTGGATTTGGCTGCTCTCCACTAACAATTCTTCAGTCTCATTTGGAGATCTACCGGTGGAAGCCATCCTCTTGTTCCCTCACACTGCATAGTTAAGATGTAGCGCAGTTTCTTCATACCACCAACTGTATGCTGTTGGTCCATATCATTGATTGTCGCTTGTTATTATGTATAATTCACTTAAGCTACAGCACAGCCTAAAAGTTTCTCCCGACACTTGCGAGCAACAAGCGTGTACGAGCGAGGGGATTTCTTAACGAGTATGAGGGCCCTATAACAAGTGACAAATCTACTCCTCGCAAGCGAGTTACGAGATGAGGGATCGCCCTCGCGAGTAGTACATGCGGCCTTGCTTGAAATGTTCCCATATGGTTGTACATGTACGGGTCTTCTGTCTACACGTGGCACTGAACCTTCACTCTGAAACATGATGATGTACAAAAGCTGACTCAGGTTGGACTCATCCATATCCGAGGATTAGTGTAAGTTGGGCCAAAGATAATGATGTCCCCCACGGCAACGAGCCACGATATAATATGGAGAAAACTTCCGTTTATTCCATTGCAGTTGATTCAATTTAGCCCGATGGTGATCGTGCTTGCAGGCCCTTTGCGCATGCATGCATGCATGTGCAACATCAGGGCAACGTTGCCGGAGCTGGAGATGCATGCATATCATTGAACACTGAACAGACTAAAAATAATGTACTATTTAATGACTCTTGTCTTTGGAATTTTTTTTGTCTTGTAGGCACAATTGCAGAATACCCCCCCATTCACCTTGCCCACCTCGTAGCCGTAGAGACACGGATACGGAGTCACGCTTCCATTCACAAGGTCCACTTCATATCCCCGTATCTGCTCCCATCCCCAGGACCCACATTGGACTTTAACAAATGTTTCCGCCTTCCCCATTCATTTTGCATTGCAGGATGCACAAGGTTCACTTCATATCCCTTTAGGTCCACCAAATGCCTTTTTTCTGAATCACAGTTTCTGAAAAGTGAAATGAAAAACCTTCTTTGCAACGATAACTGTGCAAGAGCTAGTTGCCTACATTGCTTCCAAGACGCATAAGGCTACAAAGGCAAAATGGGTCTGTTCGTGTTTTTAATATGGGCATGCACATACACACTGTACACCAGTAACATTTCTTCAGACCATGGAGATATGTTCAGGCTTAATACACAGACGGTCGCTACATGGGACAAAAATCAATATTCTTTGAGTCATTGTTCAAATACTGAATTTTGAAATATATAATGTGTAATTTTGTATGTAGACAGTAATTTGCACAGTATGGAGCATAGTAATGATTGGGTTATCTGTTGTAAAGATTATGTACCAAAACAGTCGACAGGAGGTTGTTTTCCTTTAAAAAGAATTGTGACAAGTCCCTTTTAATAAGAACAATAAATAGTACAAATAAGAAATACGTGTAGACTCGATCAATAAAGAGAAGCAGTTTATTTTCGGTTTAGTCCGTTTGAAAATTATAATAGAACATACCCATCATTTATAAAAATGATTTGGTCCTGCACGTGGACTGGAGCAATCATGCGGCCGCAAGAAGGGCGATTCTTGACATCCTTCAAATAAGTAGACTCTATGACAATCACGCCACTATGCTGAGTCATCGCTGGACAGGATGGTCCGAAAGTCACAGTGCTTTCAATTATTTCTAATATGCATTGGGTGCTGGGAATGCATTCTTTGGGAGAGGAATGTTTGATGGCATAGAATTAGGAGGGTTAATATGAAGTCCTTTTTGTATTATTTTGTGTGTAGATTAATGAAAAGAACGCAAAATACTTGCTTTGCTACTATAACACTGTAAATATTTTCTTTTTTTTGTTGTTCCACTGCAGTCATTGACCCACCTGGCATTTTGAAATTAGCTACTGACAGAATCAAAAGTATGAAGAAAAGGGAAGAAATGGGAAGGGGGTTAGTGTTTATAGCGGTAGATTTCAGATTAATGATTTTGTTGCATGTGTCTACTAGTCCGCTGACATTTTTTTTAACCTGTATAAAGGATCCTAAGCATAACCTCAAACATACCAATACTTTTCCGGGTATCAGTGAGAAGTACTTTTTCCAAGTTGACTAGGAAGAATTGAAATTCTGTTGATGCAATGAAATTCTTGCGTTTTTCACTATTATAGATGGGACGCAGGAGAGCAACACCAAAAACACAGAAGTAAAAATAATAAAACATCGAATTACCTATATAGTATGTGGAAACATGCAAAGACAAAAGGGAAGCCATTAAACACAAGATTCACTCAAGCTGAGCTAAGTAAACCCTTAAGTCAAGTCTTTAAATTTCTCCTATTCTTCTGTCAAGAATAGAGATTCTTAGTCGAAGAAAATAAACAGAGTAAAGAACACTAAGGGAAACAGGGTCCAGTCTAGGATAGCTTGCTTCCTAATCCACCTGATTAAATATTCGCAGCAGTACAAGCAGAATAGTAAGATTGCTGGTCAGTATCCTTCTGAACAATAAATAGTAGGCCAAAATCCTAATACAAACTAATGAGCTAGGGAGCAGTCCTACCACAGGACTTTAGTAAAACATACACAACCCTCACTCAACCACATTCCTAGCTGTTCCTGATGAACTGGTGTACCTAGTCTTATCACATATTTCAAGGAAACCACTATATGCAAGGAGCCTAGTATGGTCAACTGTCTATGCACAGTGCATATCATACAGAAGGTTCCCAAGTTTGCTAAAACATCAGGTAAAATAATTTACATGAGCAATTCATATCGTGTCAATAATACAGTTCAATATTTTGAACCTGTAATTGGAAAACGGAGAATTGGGGGAAAATGCATTCAGTTTGCAGAATTAAGGAGGCTTAAATGTTGAAAAGACAATTTAGTTTCAATAGGAAAACATCATCAAATATTAATGCAGTCAATCCAAGCGTCAACTTTTTAAAAATGAGTTGGTGAAATTTAACATGTAATTGTAGAGCCTCTTTGCGGCATAGCCTCTCCAGAAGGAAACAGCCAGAGAAAACACTCCCCCATCAAAAGTGGAATAAGCCAAAGACAGCAAGAGCGCCTGCAAGTGTGCCTGGTTACTTTCATTATTTTGTCAAAGTAAAAGTCCTATCCAGGAATGAGCTGATTTCTTTCTTATAACTGTAGTTTCCACAAGCTTTATTTCTATTGATAAGTGGTTGAACTAGTCCAATTTTATCATTCTCTTCTCAAGTTATACATGGACTGATATTGAATGAAGATTAATGAAATATTAGTGACTGACATAATTGTTTTTGTTTTGCGATTGTAATGTTGCTTTTGTGCAGATCGGACATGATATTTTGTCTAACAAATATTTCTTCATGGGAAGTACTTTAACTCATGAACCTTACTCTGCACTGCCACTACCAGGGTAATGTGGGGTTTAAACAGCAAAGTTCCTGGAAGCATGAAGGGAAAATTCATGATT